ACAGTGCAATTTTGAGATCCTGAGAGTTGGCCTGGCCCCACAGGACAACAAAAACACAGTTCTGTAGAAGGATCATGGTCTAATTTAACTCTAATTTGTTTTCATAATGGAAAAACATTAATATATGAACTTGGAATGTATTTTTTTTACATTTTAAAATAAATCCTCTTGTAAATGTTTATATATGAGGCCTTTTACACCTGTATTTTCTGTCATTTAATTATTAGTTCTAAATGACATTTATTGCTTAACAGGGCTTTTGAACTTCATTGCTTCCTCTTGATATTACAATGAAAGCACAATGCTTTTCATTATTTCCATTGCATCAGACTAAGATTTGCAGAGGGTTGTGAGAACATTGCAGAATTAGGAAGAAGAAAAATCTAATCTGGTAAGGAAAAATGTCATTTTCAGTTGTTGCTCCTCAGCTCTTGAACTCCATCCCACTTGAGGCCCATCAGAATCTGAGCCTGGGCATCTTTCAGAAGCAATGTAAAACCTTCCTATCCAGGCAGGCATTTAGCAAAGAAAGCTAGATTGAGATATTGTTAAGGGGGGCAGAGAGGGGCTCTGTTTTACGTGGATATTCTAATTCCCTTTTAAACTGTTTTGTTCCTTAGTTGCATTCCTGTTTTACAAATGATTCTGTCCTCTTAAGTTTCTGTTAACTTATCTTAAGATACCCTAAGCCTTTGGGAAAGGAGAGACATAAATTGAATAAATCAATAACACACAGAAATAGGTGAATAATAAATATAAATATATTTTGATGATATTCAGAAAAAAAATCCATGAATAATCATTAGGAATTATTTAAATACATTTATCTAGGTTCCCAAAAAGCCATCTTGGCCATAATAGTTAACCAAAAAAACCCCAGCCTGTGGAAGTAGCTATATATCTATACCTGTACATATATAATATAATATTTATACACACACACACACACACACACACACACACACACACACACACACACATATCTTTTCCCCATTTGCTGTATGTATACAACAAGTTGGGAAAAGAAGAGGAATTTAACAGAAATGGATATAGATTAAAACTAGGAAATTAAAAAAAATTAAGAAACAAAAGCCACAAAGTCAAAATTATAGGTGCATAAAGATAAAAAAGAGGCTTTTAAGTATACCTAGACAAAAGAAATCACCTGTATTGGTCAATAATTAGATGGGCATAGTAGAATTGTCAGTAGTCATGTGGAAAAAGGTGAAGTGTCCAATATATATTTCTGGTTCTGTATTTGAGAAGAAGAGAGATTGTTCAATAATATATGCTGATGATCTTGGGTACATACACACGTACTAAGTCAACTTAAAATAATAAGGCAAATTGACTATGTTGACTTAAGCCATGTCAGAACGTACACACACATAGCTCCTTGACATGGTGGCAGCCATCTTGTGAGCTAAGTTGACTTAACTAATGCATCTCAAAGTTGTATTGTGCCACATTTAAGTTGACTCTTCTCCACATATATGTGTACACTCTGACAGTTCAATTGACTTTAAAAAGTTAAGTCAGCTTAAATGTCAGAAAGTTAGTATGTGTGTATGCACCCCTTGTTGTTCAGGGTGAGGATGGTAGAAAGGTTTAAGTACTTTCAAAACATTACTAACAACAGTGTTAAACCATAGCTATTAAAGTTAAACAGTTTTTATAGCAGGAGGCCCAGATAGCTTGTTCAGAAGTGGTCTGATGAACTCTCTGGACTTCTAACATGCTTTTGAGAAAATCTTGAAACACCAGGGAAGTTTCCAGGGAGTAGAAAAAAGTTAATGTTATGTCAATATTTAACTTAGTCCCATATAACAATTTGATTAGTAAGATGAAATAATGTAACATCAGTATGCCACCCCTCTGTTCAGGGTTGGATTGATCACCCCATTTGTTACCCAGAAATTTTAGGCAGCTCCTGGAGCTCTTAACCCCTTGATTGTCTGTATATTAACAACTGAAACTGGCTTGAAGCACTCATTCAAAGGTATGCCACTCCAGGGCAGCATTATCTCTGATCTGTGGTACCCAGGTTGTGTTGTACTAAGGTGTATCCACTCTAGACGACACCTGCCCCTTCTCCCCAACTGGCCCAGATCGGGCCCACCACCCTCCCCTTCCCTCCCCAGCACTCCAGATCTTTGCTCACTGCCCCTCCCTCCTTCTCCCCGCTCCCCCCTCTTATTAGGGACTGCCTGTCCTGGGGAGTAGGCAGGGAAGGGTTAATCTGCTTGCCTGGCCACAGCTAAAGCTCTCTGGGCAGGCTCAGGCCTGAGAAGAGCCGATTCTCCAGGGGCTTTTTGGCAGGAAGCTTAACCTTGCCCTGCCTGCTTCCTTCTCTGCTGGGACAGACAGCAGGGCAGCAATAAGTAAGGGGGTGTGTTGGGCAGGGGGAAGCCCAAGGGATGGGAAGGAGCTGCCAGGGTTCAGGGGGGACCGGAGGAGGGAGGAAGCCTGAAATGGGAAGGGAAGGATTCTTATTTTTTAGTCCTTCAGGCTCCTCTTGGCCTGAACACGTGAGTGCTCCAAACTTGAGCTAGCACTAACACCCATCAATATTTGTGTGGCTCACAGTGTAATGTGTAACAAGGCCTTAAGTATCTTACCAGTGAAACAGAATTTTGCCCTTAGTTCTTAGTCTTGTGGTCAGCAGAAGAAAAGATTACACTATATCTCTGTGTTTAAAAGTTCAGTAATCAAATGCTTTTATTTTAGCTTGATTATCTCTTGCAACAATCTAGGAGTTTACACAAAAAATTAAAATTGTGCACACATAAGAATCCAAAATACTGCCCCCACATCCCTTAAAGTCATAGTATTCCAAATATTACTTATAATGTCTTTCGTTCATACCGTTATATTATGATTAACTGTTTTAATAAGAAATTGTATAGTAAGATATCTTTGAAAAACGGACTGGGAACTATTAACACCTACTTATCAGGAGTTTGCACAAGTAGAACTGAGGTTTAATGCTGTGTGATGCTTACTGAAAAGTCCTGGAAAGAGAGAACTTTGACCAGTGTTTCCAGAAAGCATTAAGCTGAGTGCTGGGTAAACATAAGGTAAATAGAAATCTAATAATAATACATAATGTCACCTCAGCGTCCTTCTATTCTATTGTATAAATTTATGCCAGTGATGAGTCTGTAGCTATTACCATTTTGTTCTGTGCTATATCAGCTGTGCAGTTCTAACAATAGTAACCCGCAGTTTTATCACTGAAATAAGAAGAGGGGATGCAAAGACGGACCAATGACAGATAACTTGTGTAACAAAGGTATCGTTATTACAAAATCACTCTTCAGCTTGTAAATGCACTTTAAATGCTCATCTTTATCAAAGATAAGAGCAAAATATGTCTTCTACAGTCTCCAATATAATTAAGAAAATGAGATAAAGTTTACAGATTGTTATGGTATTAAACATAAACTACCTCATTTTACACTGATGTATTTTCAGCAAGGCATTAGGCAAAATTCTCTCCTATGTGAGAGCTGCGGTTGGTGCAGAAAGGAGTTGTTCAGGGAGCCAGCCTCACCTCCTGCAATATTTAGAGAAGTGGGAGTTTCTCTCAAACAACATTCTCTGCTAGCTAATTTTTGGCCAGATTGTGAGTCCTTTGTAGCACCTCAGTGTCTCAAAGGAGCTATTGCTGTGTAGAAAGAATCTTGACCATACATTTAATTGATGGGATGATGCAGAAATGAACAGCAATTTTCTAAATCCATTCATTTAAAAACTAGGTTATGTAAAGGATTGAACAACATTCTCCATTACTTTATTTCAAAGCTGTACGCTCTCCCTTTGTGATCCTTGGAATTCTGCACACAGGAAATGACCTTTTTAAGGTTCCAAAACTGTCAGCTCACAACAAGCAAGGCTTAGAAAAAGCGTACATCGTCTCTGTTATTGTATTTATCTCTTGTTTTAATTCCTTATTTTGTAATTCACTCCTTTTGAAGGTTTCAGAATGAAATAGCATTGTGTTTTAAAAAAAAAAAAAAAAAAAGCAAGCCACAGGTAAAAAAAGGGATAGGAATATTTATAGCTCAGACATTTCCTTAATTATTTTGTCTGGGTCAAAATGATCCACTAAAGGGACAGAAAAATGCTTTGGCAATGAAAATCCTAAAGAAAGTTTTTAGTTAAGTGTGATTGTATTTGTTGAGATAGAAGAGATAATGACAAAAAGCTTAATTTGGGGGAGCCTGGGAGGCAGGGGGAAGCCCGGGATGGAATGAGGGACAGGGGTACTACAGTCCTGCAAGATCCTGTTGGCTTGAACATTTGACTGCTCCAAACTCAAGCTAGCACTAGCACCAATCACCATTTGAGCAGCTCACTGTGTAATGTGTAACGAGGCCCTAACTTACACTCCTAGAATTTTAGCTCTGATTCTTTCAAAGGTAATGCCCCATTGATTTAGGTAAAATAACTTCAGTTAAGGGATTTACTTCTTCTGTCTGCTACTCTTTTTCCACTTGTGTAATGCTGATTACAGTGGTATAACCTGCCCTCTATCAGGGCCTGGAGGAAGGAAGTAGAAAGAGACCGAAACTTGTACCACCTATACAATTGGATCATTTCACCATAGCAAATTCTTAGCCTGCAGCTGGTAGTGACTTCTCCTTACTCCCCAGGGTTAGCAAACAGTTCTAGTTAAACAACTTACAACCCCTTTGTTGACTTTTGAAAAAATAAGAGTAATTGGTTGTGTTTTTTATTTTTTGGAAGAGATTTATTTTTTCATTTTAAACATCATCATTTTAAACATACCTTTATTTTTTTCTGAGCAAGATCTTTATCTAGTGAAAGTTGCCGTTTTTGTTTGTCTTCATTATAATCATGCTGATGTATATCCTGTGATAGCCTCTTCATCCTCCATTTGGCCTTGTATCTTTATAATGCTCCAGTTTTGGAAGTGAAAAGATATAAGTACTATAACCTTTGTCACAATCGCTATGTTTGTTGTATGTCCAATTTAGCTGGATCTGGAGCTAAGAATGGTCTTATATCAAATTTCAAGTCCAGGCAAAAGAGATCTGAAATAAGCTTCAAGACTGGATCCATGTCACAACCAAAGTCAACAGCAATGCCTTCAGTGAGACGATTTCATGCCAAATGCTTCCTGAGCGGATGTTTCAAGAGTTTTGAAGTTTACTCATCTCTAGTCTCTAATGATCCAAGAATCTGTCTACTTTCTTGTCTATTCTAAGGTATGGCTGTAACCCTGACTTTTCCCTTAAGGCTATAAACAGGATTTGGAACAAATGAGAATCACCCCACATTCATAACTATAATTATCTGGTGTCAGAGAAATCCAGGAAAACTTTGGACATCATGTGGAGAACCACCAAACAATCCTGAGCATCTTGACATACTGGAAAAACATACTTCCCTATAAATATCCATTTTAGCAAGGGAGTCACATGATTTCTTTTACGAGCTTTGAGAGATTTTTGTCCAAACTACAGTAGTAACTAAATATAACATGGATCACTGTTTTATCCTGGTGTGCCAAAATACTTTGGCTCAAACATTTGGAGCAAGGCTCAAATGGTACGTATTTAACAAAAGAAATTTCCCTTATTTTCCTATTCTTCTTCCTCTACTCTCCGTTGGTCACTGTGTGCATGCAGTGTACCTAAATCAAATTGTAGAAGCAAGGTATTTTTTTCAGGGCAATTCTTAAAATCTATGTATTTCTGTTTATGGTTAGATTAAAACCTGGGAAAGCATGGTAATCCTTTCAATTTTTTTTTAAAGAAAACCTTTCAGAAGCACTTAATTGAAATTTATGTATTTATTGGAGCTCATGAGAATTAATTTGAACTATAAATTGAGTAGTTTGGTTGTGGAATGTGCTTGGCTTACTAGTTTATTTAATCTATACTGCCAGAGAAGGTTGAAGACCTTAAAGAGGGTGAGGCACAGCAGACCTGGGAAAAGAAGTGAAATGAGTTGAAGCTGCTGAAGTCTGGATTTGCCCAGCTGCTCCTCTCACCTACCCACACAATGCTGATCATGGTCTGAGGAAGGCATGGGGAACCTTTCCCTGCTTCTCCACTCCTCCTGGTCCCCAGGAGCTGTCAAGCAGCCTCTGCTTCCCCAGGGTTCCCCAGACAGGGGTCAACCTGGGTAAAGTGGGGGAACATTTCTCCCTGCTTCATTTCTCCCAGATCCCGGAAGCAGTGGAGCAATGGAAGGGTACACATGTTCATTCCTGTTCAAGTAACCTGAATGCCTGTATGCCCGTGAATACAAGTAACTTGAATGCCGTATGCTCAGGGGTGGATCTGCTTATGGAAGATATTAGATACACTGGCTGTCTATTTTATTTAGTATTAAGCATCTGTAGCATTCTGGGTTCTTGTGCAGCAGACAGTGACTTTTTTTTTCCAGTGTACTATATATCTATCAGAAGAATATTCTGTCTTCAGTAATAAGTACTGCTGCACTTGATTAATGTCAAGACTTATCAGTTAGCTATTTTGGAGGCAGTGTAAATGAGATCTGCTAAATAATGTAGGAAGAGCAGATTCCATGAGCAATCTTTTAAGTATAGTTTAGTACTGTGAGTTAAAATTGAATGACTGGAAATGTGACAGGCTAGGAAAGGTTTTAATATAGATTTATTATGGATTTTGGAAATACTTAGATAAGTTGCTTAGGTCCAGTTAGAACTGAAAAGGATGACCAGATTTTCCAGGCACCAAGCTGAAAACATTCGGAAATAGTTCTCCCTTCAATTCCCAACTCGCACAGAAAGAAATTATGCTTGGGCCATTTTGTAATCCTTCAATAGAATACTGGCCATGTCCACAGTACTGTGCAGTAGTGTCACATGGCAGAAAGCATGCAAATGATACTGTGCAGTAGTCTCTGGCAACTGAGCAGTCAGCATCACAAAAAAGCTGTTCAGCGCAGCTACTGTGCAGTAACTCAGGTTACTGTGCAGTCATTTAGTACGTATCTTGTGTAGATGCAGTCACTGGGGATTACTTTTAAGTAACTATGATATTAAATGATTGGGCTTACCCCCTGTATATTAAATTGGGAAAATATATACTTTTTAGTCTTGAGAAAAATCTTCAACATGGAAATTACTATGAAAAAGGTCAAGGATTTCACAACTGCTGAACTTGTTCTGTTCATGGGTTTCTTAAACTGAGTAAATGTTTACTCTTATGAGTTCCAGATGAAATCCACTTAGATTGTAATTGTGTAAAGACATTCAGGAAGGTTAGGGGGAAGTTAGACCATATTAAAAATGGCCACCCAATCTAACTTAGTTTGCCCACTTGTGGACCTTGCACTTAGATCCCTAATTAGGTTGATCTAACTGTGAACTGTACAGAAGCTCCAGGAAGGTTAAATCAATCAAAAAATGGCTGACTCAATCTGATTTAACTGTACCTGGAGGTGCACTAAATTAGAACAGGTATGGTTAGCCTAGACCAATCTACTGAACCTCTTTACATGTTCCCAGTGCAGCCTTGTGTCTGTTTTTCCTACCTGCCTCCCCCAGCACCAGGCTATTTTTAGCCCTCTAGCCCCTCTCCCACCCCCAGATGGACAACCCTCATCCCACAGACCAGCCAGCACCCCAATCCCTGAGCCAGCCAACCCTCTGAGCCTGCAAGCCACTCCCAGTACTGGTTTCACTGGCATTTGGTGGTGCTTGGAGTTGATGGAAGTAAGTTGGGGTGGCGGGAGGAGCAGGCACGATCAGAGAGGTTGGTTTACAGTGGGGGGGTGTTCTTCACTTGGTGTGGGGGAGTACGAGGGGCTTAAAATAAGTCTTTGTCCCTGGTGAAGGAGAGAGCCCTCCTGATCCCACCAACCCTCCCCTATGGAGCCATCAGCTTGCCCTGATCCTGCCAACCCATGCCACATGAAGCTACCCCCCGATCCACCTTCCCTTCCCCCCATCTCAATTTACTTCAGTTAGGCTCCTGGGAGTGGTGAAAGGTGGTAAAACCAACTCTGGGAGCAGTTTGTGGGATCAGGTGCAGTTCAGCAGCATCCTGGGGGGCTGAGGGGGTTTGGAGGTGTTTGGAAGGATCAACAAGCTTCTCTGAGCCTGCCAATGCACCCTGATCGTCCAACCCTACTGCATACCTCATTAACCCACCAATCCCCCCACTGACCCTACTAACCCCTCCAATCCTGCCAAACTCTCCTGAACTCCACCCCCTATGGACACTACTAGGCCCCCCACCCTGCCCGTCCCTCTTGTTACCATTACTTACCTTAGATTGGGGGCCATTTTTAAACCAATCTAACCCCCCAGTGGCTAGCTGTAATGTCTATATGAAGCCTATAAGTAAAGACATGCTTTTTAGTCAGCTACCCACCTTGTAAAAGTCAGACAGAACCTGAAAGACCAGCTGGGTTCTTTCTAGCTCTTAGTTCTAGAATCAAAACTTAATTAAAAATTGTATTGATGATGCTGTGCAATGTGAACAGGCAAATAGGGAGATGATTTTCTTGTATTTTAATCAATAAGTTAGGAGTTCTGACTCTCTTAACACAGAAAAATGGGATATTGAGCTAGAAGATATAATTTTTACATAGTGACTCTTCAGACTAAAACTAAATTTAATGGTGGCCTGAAAAAACTTTTTTACCTGCCAAGAGTGAAATTTGACATTTCCTCTGAAAAGTGGTAGACATCACTGGTCCTTAAAGTAATATAGGGATTATTATTTCATGGAGCAGCTAGTATACACTGTCGCAGCTATATTGATTTTTTGTTTATATCTTCTCTTTTAGGCACTACTGTCAGTGATGTGAACAACAGTTTCATGGGAAAAAATAAGAAAACTATGATTGCAAGTCTTAAATGTGTGAGTCAAGGAAGAAATTAAGTTTAATATTGTATTTATTTTACATTGCATAATCTATGCATCTGTTCTCACCAATAAACAGTTAACTATGTTAAAAGGTCTATTATTTTGCCTCAATACTGCTGCATTTGAAGGAAATCCTGCCCTAAATTTCTGAGTGGGTATTTCATTGTTTTCATTCACACAGATCAATTTGGGTAGTGATACTGAAAGACTGTAAACCTAAAATTAAAATACTGTGGTTCACAATAGGGTTTTCCACAATTCAAAGTTGTAATGCACAGTCTTCCTTTTTGTGTCTCTAATCCTTATATGGGAACTATTTAAGGATGCATCATCATATTTTTGAAGCGCTTTTTTTTTTTATGAATTAAATTAGTTGTGGGCTGTTATAAAGCTTCCAACCAACCCTTCCAATAGTTCAACAATTCTTTGTCCTTCTGTATGCCCCTTTCTCTTAGCTTTCTAGTCTGTGCTAAACTGCAAGATAAATCTGGCCTTTAAACTAAAGATAATGACTTTATCAGAATGGACAACATTAAATGAAAGTAGTAGGCAAAGAAATCTGGATTGAAAATGTTAATACTGAAATGTTATATTGTTATATTTTGGGCTCTTTTATAAAACACACACATACACATATATAATATATAGTATGTAGCAGCTGCAAAGGCTCGTTTGGGTGCAAACTGAGGGGTGAGCTCTACCTAAGAACTCTGCAAGAAAGGCAGCAAAAAGTTTGCAGAGGGTGCAATAGCTTTTCCAGGCAGGAGGGCATGCTGTGCACAGTGCATGCTTTTTATTGGAACATTTGAATTGTGACCAGAGCCTCCATTGCAAACTGAGGGCTCTGATTGGCTGCTATTGAGCCAAAAAGCTGAGGGAAGGACAAGAAGAACAGAAAAAGCTGGAGGAGAGCAACACAACCCTGGACAGAGGGGCAGAGACTCAGCGCCCCCATCCCCCCTCCCCCCCATCCCTCAGGCAGAGGGAATGGAGCTGAGTCTTGCTGGGGAGCAGACATCGTGTCAGGATGGAGGAGAGCCTGAGTCATCCCAGGCAAAGCTGACTTCCCACCCGGGTTGGAGCTGTACAATCGGGGACACAGGTACCC